TCTGGCAAAGGCTGGCAGAGGCTGGCAGCAGCCACACTTGAGCCTGGGGGGCAGGCCCCTAGCTGTTGTCCCAAGTCCTGAGCCCCCCCAGACCAGGATGGTGTAGAGGTGGTTGTTGCTTCCAGTTTCACCTCAGACTCAGCTGTGTGATGCTGACCCATTCCCACTCTCACCCTTGCCCTTGGTTTTCCCATCTATAAAACTCAGAAATGCAACTGGAAAGTCCTTATTCATTTAGCCAGTGACTATGTGTAGAGCACCTTTGTGTGCCAGTTACTGGTCAGAACCCTCACGGAGTTCCCAGTCCAGAGAGAAACCAGACCATTAAAACAATTAGAATGAAGTGTGTGGGCTCTGTCTACCCAAGATTCCTTCCTCTTTCTCTCTCCTAATCTCACTTCCCAAGGCTGTGAGCTCTAGCCTGCCCTAAGTGGAAAGAAGTCTCCCTTCCCTGGCTCTCTGCACCAGGCCCAAGGGCTTCCATGAAATGGGGCAGGTGACTACATAGCCCTCCTCCCCCCAACTGGTTCAAGAGGGGAAAAGGTCTGTAGGGCAGGGCCCAGGGGTCTGGCCCTTGTCCCCCAGGGTCCTGGGACTGAGGGCTCCAGGGGGGTGGGGCTTGGGCTACTGAGGATGAAATGGGGCTAAGAACTGGACAGTGGGGCACAGAGCTGCCCAGGTTGCTGAGCCTTAGGGGCACAGACCCACACCCTAGTTCTGGGCAAAAAGCCAGAGTCACACAGAGAGCCCAGGCTGACCCTCCGGAGTTTATTCACTTCTAGTGGTACTGGGTCAGATGGAGACTTGGTGGCAACCCCTTCCCCCCGCCCCCCCAATGCCAGGGCAGGATCCCAGGTCCTATCCGGCTTGGGCAGGGGCGGCCTGTCAGTGCTCAGGCAGTCAGGAATCTAGAGATGATAGAGAAAAAGTGGTCAGTCAGGTGGGGCCCAGCCTCCCACCCATTCGGCACCGGGTTTGGGTAGCCTCACACCTTCAGACTCGTCATCCGCCTCGTCACCCGCCTCAGGCTCTGGCTCGGGTTCGGGATCTGGCTCGGGTTCGGGATCTGGCTCCAGTTCAGGTTCCGGTTCTGCCTCTGCCTCTGGTTCTGGTTCCAAATCCTGCCCAGCCTCATCAGAGGCCCCAGCTTCCAGCTCCGGATTGAGTTCCTCAGGCGTTCCGGATTGCACTGCCTCAGAGCCCCTGGGAACCCCAGCCTCTTCGCAGTCTGAAGCTCTGGGCAGTTCGGGGCAAGTGGTCCTCAAGCCAGGTGCCTCAGGTGTCCAGTGGCCAGGGCATGGAGTGTCGTAGCTGCGTTCCCGGTAGCCTGGGGCGGAGGTGGGAGTATCCGAGGCTCATTTTACGCCTCTGCGGTATCCTTGACACACACCCATTTGGGGGGCGGGGAGACTGCTACTCGGTTCCCCACTCTACCCTTCACGCCACGCCCCGTGCTCTGGCTCGGGCCCCGCCCCCGCGCGCTCACCGGTGCCCACGTGCTGCCAGTCCCAGGCGGGGTCGAGCGCCCGCGCGGTCCGCTGAGCGCAGTGCAGCAGCTCCTGGCAGGCGGCCTCGCCCTTGCTCTGCACCAGAAGCAGCAGGCGGCGCACCCTGCGCTCGGCATCCGGCAGCGCGTCCAGCGCCTCGTACTCGGGCCCGGTGAGCACGCCCCGCGCCAGCAGTGCATCCAGCAGCAGCCCCGAGTCGGCCTGCAGCGTCTCCACCAGTCGTTTCCGCTCGCGGTCGATCGTTTCTGAGGGCCGCTCCTGCGCATTGCCCATGGTGGGGGCTGCATGGGGGAGGGGGAGAGAGGTAGTGGGAGCCGGGACTCCCCGCCCTTGACCTCTCTCCCAGGCTCTCAGTGAACACTCGTGGTTGGGATTTAAGTTCACCTCGACCCCGGCAGCCGGACAGCTCCTAAGCAGAGGGCTTGTCCCAGTCTCCTCCCCAGGCTTCTCCTTGGGCCCCTAAATGTCAGCTGTGGCTCTCCTCTCCTCTATGCTCTCCCTGGGTCCTTATTTATTCTCTACTCCTCTCCCCAGTCAGCACGTCCCTCCTGAGCCCCGCGCTGCCTGTGGATCCTACATTCTATTCACACCCAGTTTATCCAAACTAACTTCTTTTTCCCAGCCTGCTTCCCCACCTTAACAGGCAGAAAGACCCACAACTGATCCCGCTGCCCAACACCCAGCTTGCAGTCGGGTCCTTTCCAGTCTATCTGCTGACTATTTCTGTCATCCTAACCTCTTACTTAGTCTAGCGTTTCATGTCCAGCTTAGACCCTGCGGAGCGCTGAATCCCCTCTGCACCCAGAGCACAAGTGCTGAGAGCCTCTCCTCACCGACCGAAGAAGCCCAGGCTCCTTATTCTGACCCTGAGGCTCATCTTTCCAGGACAGGCTCTGCTCCTGCAGCCCCTCACCAATGCCACCACTATGTCCTGGTTCCCTAATACCTGAGCAGGATTACCTGAATTCTCTTGAGTCCTAGCTCTGACCAAGATCTCCTGACAGATATCCAACTGTCTCCTGCTGCCCTGGGAATCTTCTCTTGCTTCATCTTTAAATACCACAGACCTAACTCATAAAAGCTGCCAACAAGTGCTTGCTGAACTTCTACTGTTTTCTTCCATGGACCTTCCCATTTTGAGAGACTGTAGTAAGCAGCAGGTGTTAGGCAGAAATTAATCTGCTTTGTCCATTTATTAACAGCCAAGGACAATGGCCCATCACTTGTGGGGTGACCTGACCCAGGCAGCAAGGCCCCTGGCATTAAGGGGCAAATAGGTCAGGCCCTAGACCACTCCCTCTCTCAGCCCATCTCCCCTAGCCTTGGCTTTGTCCACACAGCACCCTCCTGGGTTTCATCCTCCTTTTGAGGTCACTCCTCTACTTCTCTACCTGGCTCTAGGTCTGGGAGAGTGGCTGTGGTCCTAGCCCCCATCTTGCCTCCCAGGTCTCTCTCACTACCACCTGGTGTCATGCTATGCCTCCCTGGTCATTTCACCACTCCTGGCTATACTGAATTGTCAGCGCTTCCCCCAGACTACTGAGCAGAGACCAGAACTACCCCCTGCCCCTCCCTCTCCCTTCAGGTGGCATCTCTTGACAAATGCTATTCCTCTACTACTCAGTGGGTCTCCATCAGCATCTTCCCTCAGCCCCAGCATCATCACCTCATCTCCTATGACAGTCTCTGTAAGTACCTCTCACTTCCATCCCATCACCCTCACAGCACAGTGACTTTGACAAGTCTCTGGGACAGGATTTATTATCCCCATTTTACAGATGAGGAGACAGGTTCAGAGAGACCAAGAGGCAGAACTGGAATCTGATTTGCTCTAGCTTGAACTACGAGATCTCCTGCCAAGCAGAATATCAGCCCTAACTACTTGTCTCCTTTCCCCCTGTCCATCAGAGAGAATCAAGATTATGTGGCCTGGCCACTCAAACCACCTCCCACCCCTCTGGACAGCCAGGATTCCCCCACCTACTTCCCTCCACGGCACAGTGCTGGGAGAACCGTTCAAGCCCCTGGCACATCAGAACATTTGCAGATGCTGTTCCCTAAGCCTGGAATACCCTTCCCCTTCCTCCATGCTGTGGACCCATCCTCCAAGACTTAAATGTCACCTTGTCCACCCCAGTGCCTGAGTGTCCCAAAGATAGACTAGTCCCTTCTCTGGTGTGCCCCAGTAACAGCATATACTCTCACCACCACGCTGACATCACTGCACTGTGTTCATGTACCCTCTGCCCTCTCCAGCTGAGACGTCCAAAGACTGTCCCCCCAGTCAGGGGTGCAGGACCTGCTCAGTACAAGTGCGGGGGAGGGGGCGGAGGGGGGCAGATTGCCTTGGCCCCTCCTTCTCCCTCATTGCTCCGCAAGTTATTTTCATGTTAGCCTCCTCCCTGCAGTATGCCAAGTCCTGCACTTTGTCCTGTCTGGGGTGCAGAGACCCCAGCTGCAAGTCAATGCTCAGAAGTGAATACCGACGCAATCCCAGCCAGTTCTTCAAGGGTCACAGGCCAAATCCTTCCCGGAGCTTCAGGTAGCTCCAGGTGCGAGGCATCGGGGGAGGTCTTGGCCTCCCTCCCACCCCTCTGCGCGGTCTCTTATGCTAGGGAGCGAGGGTCGTGGGAAACTGCGGGAGCCTTTGCGAAAGTGCGATCACACGGCTCCCCTTACCTCCCCTCTACCCAGTCCCACTGCTTGAATCCCGCGGAGGGGCGGTGCTCACAGACCTCCTTCGAGTGCGGCTGGTGGTGGGGTGGTGCGGATTCTGCCCAATCTCAGTTTCTCTTCCCTCCCCCAGCCGGGTGGGGTGGGGCTCCCGGTTCTATGCGTTCCGGGCGGCCCCACTCATGGGACGAGCCTCCGCGGGGCAGTAGATGACGAGGCAGAAAGGGCTGGGCGGGGTGGGGATGGGAGCAGCAGCTGCGGCGGGGGCGGGGCGGACAGGGCTGCCGGGAACTGAGAGGGGGTGGGGAAGGGGAACTGGGAGGGGGTGGGGACCCGGAGGCAGGCCTCAGGGGCCGCGCACCCCTGCGCTTCTACGCATAGTCCGCTTTCCCTCCCCACCCCGGGTGCACCGAATGAGTCCAGGGAGGGGGCAGTTGGGCCTGCTGGGGCCTGGCAATTCCCAGGAGCTTTACATCCATCTTCTCTTTGAGCCCTCTCTGCTTATCCCAGATAAGGCTCAGAGAAGGGGACCGGCTTACCCAGGATCACAGAGCAGATGCATTGTGGAGCTGGATGTGACCCCAAAAGCCCCTGAGTTCCGGACGCTGCAGCGGCCACGTGCTAGCCCTGGATCCGGCCAGAGGACGGGAGCCTAAGCAGAACTAGGGGCTGGTTCCCCAAGCACCTCCACTCTCCAGGGGTTCCGTTATTAAAGCCTTAGCCTCTGGAAATTTCTATGAATGCAAAGTCGACCCCCCCCCCCCCCGGCCAACCCATGACTTCTGTGCTCCCTGGTCGGTAGAGAAAAGAGACCAGAAACACAGAAAAAAAAATGCAGTTTATGTGCAGGGCTCAGTAATGGAGGACTGCAGAGTAGCAGGGTCTTCGTTCAGCCTCTTCCAGGGGCACCAGGAAGCCCAGAAGGGCGTGCTGCTGCAGGCCAGCCCCTCAGCTAGGCTGGCTTCAGAGTAAAGCGGGTCTCAGGGGGAGGGATTGGCCCCTGGGCCTAGGTAGGAGGCTCGGCTCTCAGGGGTGCTGTAAATGGTTAAAGCTCCAGGAAGGCCAAGAGCTGGGCCTCCCAAAGCCGCTTGGACATCCAGCAGGAGTGGTGCCCCAAGTGTGGAGTCCTTCCCTAGGAGGATTGGGCCGTGCTCAGCAGGGAGAGACAGGAAGGAGAGCCTCACCTGTCCTGCCCTCTGGTCAGTCAGGATGAAACATCCATTCTCAACCTGCCCACACTCACCCAATGGCGAGAGGATGGGTAGCCTTGACAGCTCTCCCAAGGGCCGCCTGAACTCTGGGGATTTCCCTCCAAAACACAAACTGCCCAGCCCACCCAATCCTGGCAGCTCAGACCAAGGTCCTGAGTCATTACAACTCTTACCTGGCCCCGGAGAATTTAACCCCTTGACCGCCAGCTCAGTCTCACTCCTCTCTGGACCCAAGGGCTGCATCTGCAGAGGAGAACCTCAGGAAGCAGCTGGGTGGGGGGAGTGGAGGAGGGGAGCTGGGGCTCTGGCTGAGGGCTTGGTTCAGTAACTCTAACCCCCTGCCTTCCCGCACCTTCATCTTACCAAGGACAACTCCATGTCCAAGTCCATCAGGGTCCATTCTCGCCCTTGGTGGCTGGGGCCCAGCACCTGGGGGAAGCACTCAGTCAGTGGCGCCCTCCCCTCAGCTAAACAGACCCCACCGAGGGCCCCACCCCTCGCCCCATGCCTCTGCCCTGCTGAAGGTGTACTCACATCCAGGGGCCCTGCAGGCTCCACACTTTCAGGGGGGGCCCGAAGCAGCATGGGAGGTAGCAGATGCTCTGGGCTCCGCCGCCCCCTCTCCAGGCCCAGAGTTCCCCTGCACACAGAGAACAGCTGTTGGCCTGCAGTGTCCCCCGCCCCCACCCCCGTCAGGTTCCTAAGGAACCTGGATACATCAGGATCAAAATCAGACATCTACAAAATGGTAGGAGAGGATACCCCACACAGAGGGTGCTTAAAGAACGCCTCTGCTTCCTAGCTTCGACCTGAGGTTTGGATTATGGAACTGGGATCTTGGGATATGTCCCTTTGCTTTGGAATTGTCAACACCACTGGTTCTTAAATTACTGTGTACTTTACAATGTTTCCAGTCACCGAAATGAGCTCCGTTACAATACAGATTCCGGGGCTCTACCCTAGATAGACTGATTGACCTGATGGGAGTTTCTACTTTCCAGGGCACTCTGATGCTGGTACTCTTTAGACAACTGAGAAATCTGGTCAGATCATACTGCCTGATCTTCCCCTCAGCCACAATGGGCAGGCAAGGCTGGGAAGTTAGTTAGCAGTGGTCTATCTGCAAAAGTGACCCACAGGGCTCACAGTCAAGAATGGACTCTGCTTACCTGTCAGGTAGCTCCCTGGGACCCCTTGGTTCAGGCTGTTGGGCATTCCTGGGCCCCTCGGGGCTGAAGTTCCCTTTCCCTTCCAGGATGGCCTGCACCACAGCCACCGGCAGTGGCGGGGGGGCTGTCACGCAGAAGTCACACTCGTTTGGGGCCAGGGCCAGCCCGGCCTCGCCTTCCCCCCCTGGGCTGGCCGGCTCTTCTTTGAGCAGTGCCAGGCCCTTCTCCCTGCACCAGAGAAAAGCTTCAACCAGACCCTGGCACTGACCTCCCCCCCTACCCCCACAGTTATCTGGGCTGCCAGGCCCTCCCCCACAAGCTCCCCAGAGGGCAGCCCAGTCTGTCTTACCTCCTGCTGCTGCTGCTGGAAGGAGAAAGCCTGGTCCCATCAGGGGATGGAGAGTCTTCGTGGATGTCAGAGATGATAGGGCCCCTGGCCCTGTGAGAGCTGCTGAGGCCCAAGGTGGTCTCTGGGAGGGGCTGTAAGTAGAAGACTAAGCCCAGTCCTTTCTCTCAAGCAACAGGGTGAGACAAAACCCAACCAGTACCCACATGGACCAGGTCTAAGGAGTAAGATTTGAGGGGGAAGGCTCAGTCCGTGCTGGGGAGCCTGGGTCTTGGGGTGGGGGGAAGGCTAGCCTCCACCTTCTCTTCCTGTTGGGGAATGGGGGAAAGGAATAGGCTCTCCATAAGCCTATTTGTGCCCTAGGGAAGGGAGACTGAGCAAAAACCTACCGACTGGATAAAGTAGGGGTCCTGCACGAGGGCACCAGGTAGAGGACAGGCATTGAATTTGGCCGGTGTTGGGCACGAGCCCCCCTCATCCAGCATCAGAGACCTGTGCAGGGGGCAGGGCAGGTTCATCCCCCATGCCTCTCAGCCTGCACCTCCCTCCCTCAGGCCCCAGCAGCCAAGTCAGCAGAGCTGAGGCCTGTTGCCAGGGTATCAGTCACATGCTGGAGGCAGAAGGGGCTCCCCCCAGAAATGGGGGCCCTTTGGGGATGGAGAGGGGAGGGAGAGAGCATGGTTTGAGCCCCAGACCCTCTGCTGTTGGGATGGTTTGGGGTGAGGGGGAAGGGGCTGCTGGAGGGGAAATTTGGGGCTAAGGTCCTGGAACACAGGGATCTGGGAATGGGGGTATTTGGTGGTAGAATTGAGGGGAGAGAGGGAAAGTCGTGGAGTAGGGACCTTGGGGAGATTGCCATGGGTTGAGGAAAACTATAGTGCAGGGAAGAAGAATGAGGATTCCTGGTGAGGGAGAAGGCTTCTGGAGGAGGAGTCCCTGCATGGGGCCTCTGGGAGGGAGGCTCCTGAAAGTGTGTGTGTGGTGGGGGAGTGAGGGTGGACATCCCTGACTTTCTCACTCACAGCTTTCTCTTAGCTCCTGCGCTGCTGGACCCTGTCTGAAGTGGCCCAAAGAGGCACTGGATCAGCTGAAGAGGAAGCAAAGTGTTAATTCATATTTTAGACCTTGTGCCCACCCAACAAACTTCCAGGTGGATTTGCCGCCTTGGGCGGAGGAGGTGGGTGTGTTCAGGAGTGGTAGAGAGAAGGGGGGTAGGGGGAGAGGAACACCTTGCCAATGACCCGGTGCTGCTGACCGTGGCTCTGCCGCAGAGTAACCACCTCCCTCCATAAGATCTCGTTCTGCCTGCGGGGAAGGCGTGGGAGGGTGCTGAGGCATCTGAGAGTCCGCCCAGGCACCACCCCCCACAGAACGGCAGGTCTAAACCCACGACCACTCTGATGAGCGTCCATCCACGCAGAACAGAGTTCCACAGCTCAGCCCATTTGTCTGGATGGAGGCACCAAGACATGAGCGAAGAAGGAGCTGTCCAGAAGGAGTGCCTGGCGGCCAGTGTCCTCTCGCCCAGACTCCCCCTCTCCCTCCCCACCCTCCTACGCCCCCTCCCCCGCACTGCCTGAGTTCCCGCAGCCGCGCCTCGGTGCTCTCCTGCACTCCCCGCAAAGCCTGCACCTCGCCCAGCAGCCGGCCCAAGTCCTCGGGGCGCCAGCGGCCGTCGTCGGTGCGCAGCGCAGGCACCTGCAGGGGGGAGGCACCATCAGTTCAGAGTCATCTAGGAAGGGCCAGCCGTCTCGACACCTCCACCCGGGTTTGCTAGTTCCTGAAGGCCGCCCCCACCTTGCGCCGCACACGTTCCAGTAGCTGTTCTCGGCCGCGTACGAAGCTCGGGTGCTGGAACTCGACGTGGTCGCGCTCCGGCCTGAGCAGGCCGCCCTGCTCGATGCTCACCACCTTCCGAAAACCGTCTGGGGAGGGGGAGCGTGGGGGCGTAAATTGCCCCATCCCCGCGCACCAAGGCACTCGCACCCACTTCCCGCCCCGGTCCTAGGGACTCACACATGTTGAGCTGCCGCACAAAGCTCGCCATGTTGCTGTGCTTGAAGTATTGGGGCAGCACTTCCTTGGCGAAGCGGCTCTGGTCGCTTACGAGGAAACTGGTCCCGCTCTGCCAAGAACGCCGCCCGCCCACCCACCGTGCGGGCGGAGACCGGACGACACAGTGAGCTGTGCCCGCCCACGGCCAGGCCCGCGCTCTGGGGACCCGGCCTGCCGCTCATGGAGACATGGGGCAAGGCCAGGCCAGAACCGGCTCCGAGGCCTAGCCTGGGGCGGCCACAGTGAATCCCTACCCTAGCCCGACCCAGACTCCGTACTCGGTTCTCGGAAAGAAAGAGCAGAAACCAGACTTGAGTCCCAGCCCTGGACGGGTCCCAGACCCAAAATGCCACTCTGAGCTAGAACCAGACCCAACCCTTCCCTTCTCCAGGTCTCTTGTTTTCCTATCTGTCTGTTGGGGTGGGATGGGAACTAAATAACCTCGAAGATCCCTCAGGCTCTAGGTCTCCAGAAGACTCCTACCCTTTCCTCGGTCCGGAGGAAGTCGCCTCACCTCCATCTCGCGCACACCCCCTCCAAGGTAAACTACACTGGACAGCTGAATCGAGGGACCCACAGCCCCGTCCCAGGCGGGGGTTGGGTGGGCGTGGATGTTCACTGACGTGGAAGGGTCCCGGGGACCACTGGGGAAGTCGAGGGGCCCCAGCCCTCACCGGGCTCCAGCGGATCAGGTGGTCGGTCCCCGGGTCGCCCACCAGCGCCCATAGCTTGCCGAGGAAGGCTGGCACGGAGCTGGGGCCCGGCTCCGTGGGCAGCGCGGCTGGCGCTTCCTGCATGGCGCGGTCTCGGCCCGGCTAAGCGCTCGGGCCGGGCGCCGCGGGGCTTGTGGAAGCCGTGGAAAGTGCTGCGTTTGCCGCCCGCCCCGCCCTACTCCGCCTCCGGGCGCCGGGTCAGGTGGGTGCCACGTGCGAACCCGCGGGGCGGGGCTCAGACCGCGGCCGCAGCAACAGCGGACTGAAAGGGAAGGCTGGGATCGAATGTGCGTGGAGGGGTGCGGTGGGGAGGGAGACCCGGGTTCGAGTTCCACCCTTCTCAGGCCGTTTCCTCCTTTGTTCTTCGGGAGCAATCACCCGTGCGCGGCCCGGTGTGGGCTGGTAACGTCCTAGAAGGCGATGGCCATTGCCTGGATGGAGAGGGCAGATGGGAGCGAGGGGTGTGGAGAGCGGGTGCGGAGGGGAGAAGCTGGCACTCTTCCGCAGAACTCTGGGGCGTTGTCATTCCAAGGATGCGGAGTGCCCCGCCCCTGACCTCCGCAGCCGCATCAGTCAACTGATCTCTCCCACGCCGGCCCCGTCGGGTCCTTGGGCCTCTGAGGGTTCCCCGACCTCCCCATTCAGAGCCGCCCCGCCTTCCAGAGGACGCAGTGTTGCTGCAGGATTTCTTTATTTCACACTCACACCTGACTCGCCACCTGAGCCAGTGTCCTCCCTCCCCCCTCTCCCCCCTCCCACGCCAGGGCCGCGGAGCTAGCGTAGCGTCCGCAGAGGAGTGGAGTTGGGGGGAGGATGATCCCATTACGGAGATCCACCCGGTGGACTCAGAACTCCCTGGGATGGTCCCCGACACTATCCCTATCCCACAGGCCCTAATCTTCCAGAGGCACAAGACGCAACAGAGTCCCGAAGGAGCGGGCTAGCCGTTGGCGCACGCCGGGGCAAATGCATCCAACATCTTAGAGGCCACACGTCTGCCAGAGAGGCGACTACCCCGTCACGCCACAGGCGTGGGCAGCCAGGGATGCGGCTCCCGCGTTAGTTTGAGCGTGTAGCTGCGCAGGCGCGGACACTGCGTGCGGAAGGCGTGCAGCACAGAGGGTCGTACCACGCAGAAGCAGTGTACTTCACGCAGGCCCGCGCAGCGCGCCGCCAGCAACTCTAGCGCGGCGTCCAGCTCAGCTGAGGCAGCGGCGCGCACCTCGAGCGCGCGCAAGGTTGCGGCGTAGTGGCGCGCTGCAAAGCACACCGGGCCTACCGTGTCCCCAGAGAGGCTGAGGCGTAGCGCAGCCACCGGCACGGCAGGCTGCAGGACGCGCGTCACGCTCTCTGCAGGCAGCGCTGGCTCCAGCTCCAGCTCCACGGCCAGTCCTGGGTGGCGGCGGCGCACCGCGGCCCAGGCTTCCTCGGGCAGGGGTGGCGCGCGTGCGTCCTCGGGGCACGCGCACCGTAGGGCCAGGAGAGCGAAAGGCGCGCGGTCCGGCGCCGCTAGCACCTGGAGGGCAGTGCCCGACAGGCTGGCTAGGTGCAGGCCGAGGGCGCGCAGGCGCGGGCAGGCTTCTAGTAGCTGGAGCACGGAGTCGGGCCTCACGCTGCCCACCAGCGTACAGTTGTCCAGGAAAAGGCTGCGGAGCTCGGGGCAGCCGCGTGCCGCCTGCAGCACCAGCGCGTCGTCCAGTGTAAAAGGCAAGCGCCGAAGGTCGAGGTGGCGCAGCGCGCAGGCGGCCCGGCAGACGGCGTGCACGGCGTCCAGGATGTCGCGGCCTGCGTCGAAGAGCGGCTTTTCTCCGCAGCACTCCAGGCGCAGGCTTCGAAGCCCCGGGGTGCGGCCCGCCAGTGCGGTCAGCAACTCAGTGGCCGCCCGGCGGCTTGGCTCCCTCGACGGCTCAAATTCCAGCCGTAGGTTGTGAACGTGGTCCATGCTGGCAGTCAGATATGGTAGCAGCGTGCCTTCTCGCTCACAGTCGCAACTTCTGGTTAGAACCGTGAAGAAAAGGCATTGGCCGCGAGAAGCCTCTGCCCATCCCTTAGCCTGGAGTACAGCTACCATAGCCACTTTCTGACACCCTACACATGTACCTCCCAGTCCTGATCATACCAGGTTGCCCCCAAATAGCCGCTGATACTAGGAGGGAACTCCCACCCTATTCCTTTGGAAGACGAACGATGCGTCTGCCTCGAGCTGAAGCCCTGGCAGGGAGAGCCAATGATATTTTAGGAACTGAGCTTTCTCAGAGGTCTCTAAGGAGGCGGGGCGTGGCCTCTAGACTGTCAGGTTCCCATTCTGCCTCTGCCACTACTTAGCTGAGTGACCTGTAGGAACTAATTAAATCTCTCTGCCTCAATTTCCTATCTGTGAGACAATTCTACCTATCTACCACATAAGGTTTTCGTGAGGATTAAATTAATATATGTAAGGTACTTAGAACACCGGTTGGTACATAGTAGGCGGTCAATAAATGTCAGTAATGATTATGCTTTTAAATCCAACCCCCGATTCCATGGAGAAAGGGAGAAGGTGGGAGGGCGTCAGGAGAGTGAGGAGCCCGCTCACCTGATGGTCGTGTCGCGCCACACGACGCTGCACGCGGCAGCAACAGCCCAGGCTCTGCAGACCCTGGCGGCAGCAACACGGTCCCGCAGGGGCAGGTGGCGAAAGATGAGCACCAGCACCTCCTCTGGCAGTTGCTCTCCGGGCTCGGCCATGGCCCTGCGCGGGGTGGGAGCTCTGCCGCTTCCAGAAGCTCTTGTCTGGAGAGAAAGGGGCGTCTCTGGGCTCCAGAAAGCCAAAATGTTGACGGGACCACCGGGGCCTATATGTGGAAAGGCTTGTGGCCCAGAACTTGCTACAAAATTTGCAGAGCCCAGTGCAAAATGAAAATGTGGGACTCTTTGCTGAAAATATTATTAATAATTTCAAGACCGTGACAGCAAAACATTTAAGCAAATTATTAAACCAAGCATGAGGCCCTGCTCCACTTACTGCACAGGTCTCAGACCCATGATCGGCCCTAGTTGCTGAAAGATTTCTGATTCTCCTTTACACTACGTTCTCACTTGTTGAACAAATCTGCATTTTATGATATACTAGAAGGAATGCAACCCACGACCTGTGTGCGAGGTTGATAAAGCCGAATATTCGGGTTTGGAAAATGCTATCGGATCTTTCTCCTGGCCACTAAAGTTCTCCCTGGGGAAGGTGGAGGGCGGCTGCACCTGCCGTGACTTGGGACAATCCTGTCCTCCCTTCCTCCCCCCACCCCCCAGCTCAGAGAGCTTCCTGCCTTCCTATACACTCAGAGCCACCAGGACCACCCAGACTAGTCTTCCAGACAGCTTCTAGAACTGCTTTCTTCCCAACTTCTACTCTGAGTTCCAGGTTAGGACTGGACCCAAGCCTCGCCTCAAGGGCTATTGAAATGAGGGTTTCTCAGACGGCGGGGGGTATCAGAATCACCCGGACACTTGTTCACAATACAGATTCTACCGCCCCACCTACTAAATCAGGCTCTTCGGAAAAAGTCGGGCCCAGGAATCTGAATTTCAACAAGTGCCAGTTGACTTCACAGGTCCCGAGTTGAGAGCCCGCGTCCCAGCCAAGCCAGTCACTAGAGAGTGACGACTGGGTTAATAGGGCGGGGGCACTGGAGAAGACTTTTAATTGGCGGGGACCACCAGCCAATCAGGAAGCAGGGGCGCGGGTGGGGCACTGCCGAATCTGCTCCGAGAGGGGAGGCTCCTTCCTTTCCTCCACCTCACTGGGGAGACGTCCCGGGTGCTTCCAAAGAAAGGCCGGCTGAGCGGAGAAAAGCTTCGGGTTCTGAGGCCTGAGGAGCCCTGGGTTCAAGTTTCAGTCCTGACTCTGGATCAGTCCAGGCTCAGGTTGGGCAGTTTCGGTTCAGCTGGGATTCTGCAGACCCATTCCGGAGCGCGGCCTTTATTGGAAAGTGTGCGTCCTCTTCAAAGTTGCCCATTTTATTTTAGGGTGCTTGAAGGTTTTCCTACACAACGTTTCACACCACTTGCCAGTTTTCTATTTCCCCATATTTTCCAGGCTAACGATCCCTTGCTGCAATTTGCACCTCATATATCCTGGGGCTTCAGATACCCGCGGCCAGGCTTGAACTTGGACCCACCGGCACCCCGTTTTGAATGTCAGGGAGTTGGAGAGGCCAGAGATCGAGCTCAAACCCTCCCCACCCAGACGTCATAGAAAATTCTGGTGTCCAGGGGTCCCTCTTTGTTGATCCGTCCGCTCCCTGCTTGAGAAAGCGGGGCAGCTCTCACCCTGGGGCCCCCCGGGCTCCTAAGAGCCGAAAGCGCCCGAAGTGTTTTACCGTGGGCAGTTCTTCGTGCCGTCTAACCTCGGGCGCCAATGTCTTACCTGCTCAACGGACCAGGTGGGCTTTGCCCAGGGGCTGGGGACTGGCGGCGGAGGACAGTGGGCGGGAAGAAACGGCTGGGAGCATTGGGGGCGGGACGCCGGGGCTGACTGGGCTGCTCGGGCTGGGGCACCGCCCCTGCGCTTCGCGCACACCCGGAAGCGTCCTAGTCCAGTGGAGCCCGGCGGGCGTGGGAATCCGGGCTGGGCCAAGGCCGCCAGGTTAGTGCAGAGGGTGGGTGGGCTTCCCGGTGCCGGCAGGAGCAGAGGCGGATCCTGGCTCAGGAGCGTGGGCGAGGCGCGGTTGTCACCCGCGGCTGCCCGGGCCAGTTGGTGGCGGCGGCCTGGTGGGCTGTTTCCGTGAGAGGCGACAGAGAGCCTATGGACGTTGGCACTCGCAGGTTCCTTGTCCCAGCTGAGGTCTTTGGAGGGGGTGTCCGATTCCTGCTGGTGGGAGGGCGGGGCGGGGCTGGTTCTGAAAGTGTCTGTGAGCAGACCTGTTCCCGCCCCAGCCAGGTGAACATGAGAAACCCCAGCATGAGGGTGGACACAACTGGAGTCTGGGGAGCTTCCCTCGAGAGCTCGGGAGCGGGCCAGCTGAGTAGGGGGCGCTCCAGGGTGGATGCAGTCCTAGAGGGGCCACGGCCGCGGGCCATTGGCGGCCACCCGGCCGGAGGCGGGGCTGCCCGGGGACAGTTAGGCTGTATTAACGGGGCGCGGCGCCTGTCTGGCCCCTGGTGGTAGGGCCCTATTTTCTTGAGTCGGTACCCGCTAGTCGCTCACAGTCTCAGCCAAGAGTCCCGAAGGACCCATTCGGGTCCCACCCTCAGAGAGGCGGACTGCCGGTGGGTGAGGCGCGGGGCTTCCCGAGGAGGGGCTTCTGTAGAAGGACACGTAGGAAGGAGTTCCCCAGCGGACCACGCGAGCCAAGGGTCCCGGTCCTGTTATCTGACCCTCTCGACCTCCAGCCTCGCAGACCTGTTTGACTTCTCCCATTTGTCCACTAGTGAGTGTGATGGAGCATCCCCTCTTCCTCCAGAATTCCAGTGCCCGCCCTGACAGTCCCAATAGGCAGACTCTGACCCCGTCCTGCCCTCACTTCCACCCCTGAGGCCAATCACATTCATGGGGTCAGCACCCTCAAGTCAGGGGGCTAAGAAGACATGGAAGAGGAAATGTTTCAGGACAGGTTCCCACACTCTCCTACCCTCTGGGCCATTGCCTTTGGGCTCCTAACTTGTCTCACTTGCCTTGTACCGCTCTTGGTCCCACTTATCACCTCTAGAGTCTTACTCCATTTATGTTTTATTTTTTGCTTCAATTTTATGTAATACAAAGGACATATGTCAACTTTCCATAAAGTAGAATGTTGCTAAATACAGTGAAAATAAAAATCTCCCCTCCCCCCACTCTCTTCCTCAACCCTCTGCAGAGGTAAACAATGCTAGCTAGCTTTCTGTTAATTTCCAGACTACTGCTTTCGGTAAATACACAAGTATTAATATGTTTTCTACCAAAAAGTTATGGGGGGGGCGCTCAAAAGGCATGTCCTCTGTGCTCAGACAGAGGGTGGGACGGACCGTCACCTGAAACCATTTCTCTTGCCAGGTCTGGGTGATACTGGGGGGCCGCTGCCCAGTTACTGTTCCGGCTTTGGCTCTCAGGTTAGGGTGTGGGGGCAGATCTGAAATGCAGCCTCTGCTTTAGCTCAGGATCCCTACTCCTTCCCCACAAAGGTACAAGGCTGTGGTGCTGGTTCCCTCTGGCAGCAATCCCCCCCTCCCTGTCCCTCAAGTGAATGGATGCCAGCTGGGGCCACCCTATCTGTTCTGCCCAGAGCAGTGACATCCAGGGTGCTCACAGCTAGGGCTCAGCAGCCCCTCCTAGCCTACTGTATATAAATGCTGGAGATCAGAGGTAAAGAAGTGTGACTGGTGGGGCAGTAGGTGGGGTCTTGAGCCAATGTTTCTAGGACAAGGATGGGATGTTGCCTCAGGTGAGGTGGGGAGGAAGAGGCAGGGCAGTTCTCCATCTGCAGCCTCATGGGGCAGTAACTGGGAGGCAATTAAACTGAGGAGGGTCAATGAAGTGGTTTCCTGGCTGGGAATTTTGCCCTCTCCCCGACCCCTGGTCTAGGGCTAGGATTTTGTCAGAAGATAGATGGAGGAGATACAAGCACAGGGAGGAAATCTGTAATAGAACAATTTGAGTTGCATAAGACAAGAGCACAGCTCCAAGGACTTTAGAACAAAAAGGAATGATTTAACTCACATAACTGGAAAGTTCAGGGTGCAGATAGAGCCAGGGCCATAGTATGGTTAGGCATACACCTCCTCATCTCTTGGCTCTGTATCCTTCTGTGTCAGTTTTATTCTCAGCCTGGCTCTTTCTAGGCAGCGGCTGAGGAATCCTATCCTTTCTTCCAGCTCAGTCTAGTGGGTCTCTCTTATTGGTCCAGCCACAGTTGCAGGCTAATTCTGATTGGTCCAACCTAAATCTTATGCCCAACTCTGAACTAATCACTTTAGAAAGGGGAGTGGAATATGCAGGTTTGGCCCGCCTATTTCACTTGCGCACACCTGGAATTAGGGAGTGGAGTTAGCGCTCCTAACAGGCACATGGATTGAGAAGAGGGAAGACCCCAAAGGTCAGTCAGCAGTGGGAGAGGGAACCTGGGCAGGTGAAAACTACAGTTGTCCTTTGCAATGAAGCCAGGAGGTATATAATAGGAATGCAGGTGAGAAAACCTAATGGGGGCTGTTGTCCCAAAGGGATCGTGGGAGCTCAAGTTTAAGCTGAAGGCATACCAGGATATGGGTTCCGTTGGCTGTGGGGAATGGGCACCATCCAGGATAAGGATGTCTCCTGTCAGCTTTGAAAGAGAGACATCCTGGCCCGAAGAGGGGGCAGAACTTCTCTGCCACCACTGCAGGATAGTACCTCCCTTTTTCTGCCACTGTGACCCTGGGCTTTCTCAGAGAAGATAGTGGAGAAACAGTCCTCACTGCAAGTCTGGGCTGAGCTGGGCTGGGCTGGGCTGTGCAGATTCAGAAGCACAGGGGGCTGCCTGTAAGATGATGAACTTCCCCTCACAATTGTGCCAGCTGGGTGGGGACAGCTGAGCCACGCAGGACTGGACTGTTGTCTCCAGGGCTGGGTTGGGGGTTATCTGGATGCCTATCTGCGTCTCCAGGAGGCAAGATGGCGACTGGGCCAAATGGGCTCGACGAGTGGGTGGGCAGCGCATACCTGTTTGTGGAGTCCTCGCTGGACAAGGTGGTCCTATCTGATGCCTATGCTCACGCCCAGCAGAAGGTTCCGGTGTACAGGGCTCTGCGGAATGCACTGACAGGTGTGTGGGTGGGCGGGTACTTGGGGGGGGGAGCTTGGGCCTTTTGTGGGCGGGACCAGGGGCTGAGGCCCCACCTCCTCAACTCTGTGGGCCTGCGCTTAACCAGCAGGTTGTAGAAAAGATTTGACGGCGAGGGGGGAGGAGAGGAGAAGGATGTCTGGTTTCATAGGCTCTGTCTTCTCTGTTTACGCAAGTGTGCCCTTGGGTGTAGACGTGTGTCCCCGTGTCTGTGTATGATCTACCTATGTATACACTAACGCCCCCACCTCCGCTTGATGCCCGCCCCCAGACCAGCCAGCTCACTGCTTTCTACTAATCACGCCTTTCTCTCTTTTCCTCTCTCACTGCAGCACTCCTTGCCCAAGACCCCTCCCCAGTACCTACCTTTCGGGGGGGGGCCCTTTCCTATCTCAGGGCAGAGGCCACAGGAAGCTGAAACGTGTTGGGGGATCCGCCTCCTTCCTGGGCAGCGGGAGCCACAGTTGGTAGAGGCCGAAGACCTGAGACCTCTTGTTCCTCTGCTGCCCCGCGGGCCGCCTACCCAGACGGCTTAGCTGCCCTGGGCACACGCCCCTCTCTGTACTGCAAAGCCTCTCGCCACGTCCCTTTTGCCTACCCTCATTTGGGGCTTCAAGGATGGGGCTGGGGTGGCACCCACTCCGTCTTAGGGTGCTCCCTGTGGTAGGTTCTGGCCTTCATTTTGGATTGTTGCTGTGTGCATCCCAATTTTGTTTCCCAGCTGGGAGCTAGGGTCAGGGAGGGAGTCTGCGTGGGCTTCACTCCACTATGGCCGCTTGGAGAACGGCCCCGCATGGGGACCGCCTGTCGCCTGACTGTCCGCCTCCTCAGAGAGTGGCGGGAGCCCGGACGTGCTGCAGATGCTCAAGATCCACCGCAGCGAGCCGCAGCTGATTGTGCAGTTACGTTTCTGCGGGCGCCAGTCCTGCAGCCGCTTTCTCCGCGCTTACCGCGAGGGGTCGCTGCGCGCCGCGCTGCAGGGGTGCTTGGGGGCGGCTCTCGCCCTGCCCTCGGTGCCGCTGCAACTGGAGCTGCGCGCCGGCGCGGAGCGGCTGGACACCTTGCTGACGGATGAGGAGCGCTGTTTGAGTTGCATCTTCGCCCAGAAGGTGCGGCTGGGCTGGGGCCGGGTTGGGGTGGGGCGGGGATCCGCGGCTAAGACGCCCACCGACGCCGCACTCCCCTCCCTAGCCTGACCGGCTCCGGGACGAGGAACTCTCGGAGTTGGAGGACGCACTCCGGAATCTGACATGTGGCTCGGGGAGCCAGGGTGGCGACATGGAGGTCGTTCCAGCGCCCTCGCAGTCCCTGGCCACCTCTCTCTCAGAGGAGAAGCCACCACCGCCGCTGCCGTCTGGCCAGACTTTTCTGTTCCAGGGTCAGCCCATAGGTGAGGCGCACGCAGAGTCGAGGCGGGGTCCTCAGGAAGATGGAGTTTGGGGAGGGGCAGGGTCTGGGCCGGGTAGTCGCTGGGCGGGAATGGAGGGGTACGGGTCTTGGTCTCCCCGAGCTCACTCTGCTTCCCACTCCCCTCCCCCCCCCGCCCCGCAGTGAACCGGCCGCTGAGCTTGCAGGACCAACAGACGTTCGCGCGCTCAGTGGGTCTCAAATGGCGCAAAGTGGGGCGCTCCCTACAGCGAGGCTGTCGTGCGCTGCGGGACCCGGCGCTCGACTCACTGGCCTATGAGTATGAGCGCGAAGGGCTGTACGAGCAGGCCTTCCAGCTGCTGCGGCGCTTTGTGCAGGCCGAAGGCCGCCGCGCCACGCTGCAGCGCCTGGTAGAAGCCCTTGAGGAGAACGAGCTCACCAGCCTGGCAGAGGACTTGCTGGGCCTCGCGAATTCCGATGGCAGTCTGGCCTAACCTGAGTACCAGAAAAAGGGGGGATCGGCCAGTTGCCCAGCAGCGTTTGGAGCACCCGGATGACCCTAGGGTCCCTTCTGCTGCTATTGCGGAGCTCCTGTCCATCCACGGGACTCTGAGACCACACCGATAACCCCACTTAGCCCAGCTGTTGGAGCTGCTGGGTAGTGTTGATGGCTTTCTCCAGGAATTGGGCAAGCACCCACCATTCCTGTTGGGGTGCCATTGGGGATTTGGCCTCAGATACTGTGATATGGACAAAGTGCATGGGTGACCTGCTCCAGCGGTCTGCCCACCCCAAATGAGGGGCTTCTGGCCAGCCCTTACCTCTTCACTCATTGAACAACTAACTCATTAAGCACTTGCTGTGTCCTAGCCATCATCCCGGGCGCTGCAAATACTGTGGTGAGCAAGATACACGAAACCTGCCTGCCCCCAGTTCATACTCAGTGTTGGACTGCAGATTTTAAGCAACAGCAATAAAATATTACCCGTTCTTTTAATGTGAAAAATACAAAAAGTTGTGGGTGCTCTGAGCACGGGCCTAACCCAGGTTAGGCTTCCAGGGAGAGCTATGAGGGTGGCAGGTTGAGGGAATGGCAACATTCTGGACATAGCCAGTCTTGGGTGAGGTCTTGAGGAAAGTTAGAAGAACAGAGGATGTTAGAAGAACAGAAAATTTGGAGTGGCTGGATCTAGGGGTAGTGGGTGGGTTTGCAAAGAGAGCTTTTGGTGAGTGTGGGAGGCAGATAGCTCAGGGTCTGGTAAGCCATTTTACAGATTTTGGGTTTTACACTGAGGCCAGTGAGAAGCATTTAGAGAGTGTGGGGAGTTAAGGTGGGGAGGCTGGTGAGGAGGGAGAAGAAGAGGGAGAGGTGGAGGGAGGGAGGGTAGGGGTGGAGGCCCAGGCTAGGGCAGTGGCAGCAGAGATGGAGGGAAGGGATGAACACTGCGAACTGTTTAGGATGAAAGGTAACAGGCCTAGTGACACTGGATGAGGAGTGAGAGTGCAGGAGGACCTCAGAGTTTCTGCCTTTTTCAGTCCGATGGAGGGCGGGGCTGCCTGCTTAATCGAGGGGGCCCTCAATCTCCAGAACAACTCTCTGCCCACTGGGATCCCAGATCAAACCCTTTACTCACTGGCCGACTTCAGGAATCCCTCCAGCTGAATCATCCCTGCCAGTCCAATCTGGCCTGCAGTGACACAGGCTTGGTTATTTCTACCTGTAGGAGGCTATGCTGGACTATGCAGGTGTGGGGTACTAGGGCCCAGGGGGCCCAGAGGTACCTCTGGGGAGACAGACTGAAGTGCTCCCCTGTGAAGTTAAAGCAGAGAGGGTTGGCCCCTGTCCTGTATCCTAGTGGATAGATGCGGAGAGGGTCAAGGGAGGACAGAGCAAAGAGTCCCAGACTGAATTCCAGAAGACCTAGGGCAATGCTCTACATTTCTCCCTGTATATTGCTGGACAAGTCACTTAACTCCCTAAGGGGCAGTGTCCCCATCTGCATGAGCAATGAGAGCTGCTACCAGAGTTGTGAGAATTGAATCTTGTGGGTCCGTGTGTGTTTGCTGGGGTGGGAGGGAGGCATGGCAGAACCAGGAGTAAGGAGGCAGCCATATGTCCCGGGCCATTTATGATTATAGGTCCTGCCTGGTTGAACCTGGGCTGCTGGTGAGCTGAGGAGAGGTGCTTCCAAGGTTAGCCTGGGATGGTGGCCAAGTAGATGCCTAAGACGCTCAGCCTCGGGGATTTGGGACCCGCCAGCCCTGGGCTCCTGCCAGCCCAGGCCCTGCCTCACTCCGGAGAGGTGGGGGTGCGGAGATTAACCAGAGAGGCTAATGTTTCTTCCTACCCCCACCAAAAGGCAGAGTTGGGGAGTTTGAGCCCACACCGAAACCAGAACCCACCGCCTCCGGCCTTCCCAGAGAGAGCTGCCCGTGGGGATCCCTCTCAGAGATTAGTCTTCACTAGGAGACAGCGCTCCCCGCGGCGCCGGGGCGGAGCTGAGCTCCAGATGTCCAGGCGCGCACAGCTGGAGGGTCACGTGGCAGCGGCCCCGGTCCCCCCCCCCTTCCTGCCAACGCTGCATTTGGCCCAAGCCCCGTCCATGGCTGCCCTTGGGACCCTGCGCTGAGCCCCGGAGGCCCTGGCGTCCGGGGCTGCGCCGCTCCCAAGGGACAAGCGTGAGTGTCGGGATCCCAAGGACCGACGTGGTGGGTAGGGAGGGGGTAGAAGGGATTCGGCTTCAGCGCGGGAAGGGCGGGCGGGGAACGGGGCCCGAGCTCGGCGTCTCCAGGCCTTAGGGAACCGTCCGGCGCTGAGGGGGGTGGGGATTGGCCACTAGGAGAAACTTCCAGCCTCTTCAGGGTACCCAACCCAGTGTGTGGGGGTGTGCCACGGCCCAGAGCAGGAGAACGCCGGAGGGGGATGAATGGCCGGTAGCGGAGACCCTCGGCGTTTGGCCTCCGCCCCCTCCCCTCGGGGAGACCGAGGCCGGGAACTCCTCCCGGCCAATGGCTTCCGCGTCGCGAGCCCCTGACTGAGTTTTTCTGCAGGGGGCGCGGGCGCCAGCCACGCGGACATGAGGCGGAGGCTGCGCCTCCGCGGCGACGCGTCGCTCACGCTGCTCCTCGGCGCCGCCCTCGGCCTCCTTCTCTACGCACAGCGCGAGGGCGCGGCCCCGACGACAAGCGCCCCGCGAACGCAAGGGAAGGCAGCGCCAGGGCCCACTCCGGGACTCCGCGTCTTCCAGGCGCCGGACGCAGGCGCAGCCCCGGCCCCGGCCCCGCTGGCCTATGAAGGGGACACACCGGCGCCGCCCACACCCACGGGGCCCTTTGACTTTGGCCGCTACCTGCGCGCCAAGGACCAGCGGCGCTTCCCCCTGCTCATTAATCAGCCGCACAAGTGCCGAGGAGATGGCGCACCTGAAGGTGGACCCGACTTGCTCATCGCCGTCAAGTCAGTGGCGGCGGACTTCGAGCGGCGCCAAGCCGTGCGCCAGACGTGGGGTGCTGAGGGTCGCGTGCAGGGGGCGCTCGTGCGCCGCGTGTTCTTGCTGGGCGTGCCCAGGGGCGCGGGTACAGACGGGGCAGACGCGGAGGGGGAGGGCACGCGAACCCACTGGCCTGCCCTGCTGCGTGCTGAGAGCCGCACGTACGCGGACATCCTGCTCTGGGCTTTCGACGACACTTTCTTCAACCTAACGCTCAAGGAGATCCACTTTCTCGCCTGGGCCTCGGCCTACTGCCCCGACGTGCGCTTCGTTTTTAAGGGCGATGCAGACGTGTTCGTGCACGTGGGGAACCTGCTGGAGTTCCTGGGGCCGCGGGACCCGGCGCAGGACCTGCTTGCGGGCGATGTGATCGTGCAGGCTCGGCCAATCCGTGCGCGGACCAGTAAATACTACATCCCTGAGGCGGTGTACGGCCTGCCCGCCTACCCGGCCTATGCAGGTGGTGGTGGCTTTGTGCTTTCGGGGGTCACGCTGCGTCGCCTAGCTGGCGCCTGCGCGCAAGTTGAGCTTTTCCCCATTGACGACGTCTTTCTGGGCATGTGTCTACAGCGCCTTCGGCTCACACCCGAGCCCCACCCTGCTTTCCGCACCTTTGGCATCCCCCGGCCGTCAGCGGCGCCGCACCTGCGCACCTTTGACCCCTGCTTTTACCGGGAGCTGGTTGTAGTACACGGGCTCTCGGCCGCCGACATCTGGCTCATGTGGCGCCTACTGAATGGGCCCCAAGGGCTAGCCTGTGCCCGTCCGTGGCCTGTCGCTGCTGGCTCTTTCCAGTGGGGCCCCTAGCCACCTTCATGGCCCCAAGCTCCCCTCACTCAGACCCAGGATGATTATCGCCGTGTATGTAGTTCTTTCCCAGAGACGGAAGATTTCAAAAATCTAGCCCATATCACCAGAAGTCGGCCTCCACAGGTCCCCAGGGAATTAAGACTGAACTTGGCTCCTGCTGGCCTACCTTGTTCGGAGCTGATCCAGAACCACCTGGATGGTAGCCCTTTGAGACAGCCAGGGCTGAGGCCTTAGAGCACCAGGCTCTGCCAAACAGGTAGACATGTTTGGCCCTCCTACTACCAAGTAGGTTTTTGGGGGTTGGGGATGGGTGGTCGCAGAGGCTCATGGAATCTGACCATACTCCTTGATTTGGAAGTCCTAGAGTGATGCAAATGCAGGTCTCTCCCAAGGCTGGAGGAGGTGTGGGGTCCTGGAACTGGCAGGCACTTTGTTACAACTCAATCTGAAGTTAGGCATTTTGCTTCCCACCTGCCCATCCAAATTGGATTTTCAGCCCTGTACTGATCTTTAGATCTTCTTCTGAGGTCTCCTTCCCGAAACCAACCCCTCCTGGGCCCTGGTCTGGCTGCAACACCAGGGATGGAGGCACACAGGGACAAACAAGTGCATGGTCTTACCTAGAGTCTTTCCTCACCACATAAGAATTTACACACACACAACAATGCCAGTCTCCTACTAGAGGCTGTGCTGCCCCACTCAGAAGAGCCAAGAACCTAAGATGACTCCACCATAAAATTTCCCATATCTTTCACCCACTTTCTTAAAAATCAACACCTCCATGCTTATTTTAGCACAAACATCCCAGCAACAGCACATGGTGAGCAGCTGCTGAGGGCATAGGTCTTTATTGGAGGGGTATGGGCAGGGCATGAAGAACGTGGGGATAGTCCTGGCTGCCCCTACAGGGGGATGTGTGGGGGGGGGGTCTCTGGCCAGGCCACAGTCCAAATGGGAAGACACCAGTCAGTCACAAAATTATGGGAACGCCACATAAGCCTGGCTATAAGCCCAGGAACCACCTAGGAGCCTAGGGCAGGTCCCCTGCACATTCATTGTTAAACTCTACAGGATGAGGCTGTACATGAGTTAATTACAAAAGAGTCATATTTACAAAAATCTGTACACACATTTGAAAAACTCACAAAATTGTCATCTATGTATCACAAGTTGCTAGACCAAAATATTAAAAATGGGATAAAATTATACATTTCTCTTCTCAATTCTTTTCAAAAGGATTATTTTTAAAGCACATATGCTACTTTCCTTAGCAAGACCCATGAAAAGACTGAGCAGCCCAGCCTTCCTTGAGCCCCCAGAGGCCTTGAGCCATGAATGGGCCCGGCCAGGGGACATTGCCCAGGGTTGGGGCAAGAGAGCCAGCCCACAGTGCAGAACAGAATGCTGAAACAATAAAAGGAGGAAGATGTCTTTGGCTAAAACTTTGGCATTAAATAAAAGAGGCAAACAGGATGGAAACATGCAGCCTGCCAGCCAGGTTGGGGCAGAGCAGGGGCACAGGTGACCTTGAAGGCTGGCTCCAAGAGGGGTAGGAACCAGGCCTGGGCACATACCTGGATGGTAAAAAGCTGTGTTTCAATGAGTTGGGCGTGCCTACTGGGCCTGGTAGGGAGCGCGTGCAAAGAAGGAACAGGGAAAGGCAGGTGGGCCACCTTGGCCACAGCCAGCTCATCAAGTAACTAAAGTGGATGTAGTGCAAAAGTCGCAACCAAGTACTATGGACATGCTACCTGCTTGCCTTAAGGGTCACGTGGCAATGATGGGCCAAAGGCCGGACCTCGTCCTCGTCCTGGGTGCCTGTGTCCTCAGCCACCAGAAAGAGTCCCAACTTTTTCCAATGCGTGTGGAACAGGAGAGACAGAACTCTGCCTCCGTATGTGTTAGTCGAGGTCGCCTGGGTCCAGGTATCAAGGCTCAGAGTTTGTGCTTCTCTTTGCAGTCTGTGTCCTCTGTTGGCACCAGCAGGCTGAGGACGGACAGAGGAATATTTGGGCCTCTCACCCCATGGCAGAGCACCCAGTCTGAGCCCCACCTCAGAACATCACAACAGCCTTTCAACACTGGCAAGGTGTCCAAGAAAACCCACAGGGTGGCACATGGAGGCCCGCTGAATAGGATGCAATGCACAGCTCCACGGGGCAGAGGGGCATGGGTGGTGATGTCCTTAGGGGAGCTCCGCTGTTCTCAGGTGGGTACCAGGCCTGGGGGGGCCATACAGGGTCACCGAGGCAATATGGTTATTCTGCATGACCTGGTGTGAGAAGCGGACAATGAATCAAAGGGGAGGAGTAGAAGGGATGCAGGCATGGTAGGCAATCAGATCCATAAAAACCACCAGTACTAGGGCTGTGACTGCAGACAAGGGATTTGGGGCAGCTCCTGTGCACAAAGGATGGATGTTGTGTGTGCAACACACCTGCACACAGGGCTGGGCTGATCCCTCAACATCCCCCAACTCATGCTAGGAGTCATCCTGGCCCAACAACTGCCTGCTCTTCATGGGATAAACTTCACTATACCTATTTATCCAGTCCTTCTGGAACTGCTAGGGGCCTAGTGAAGGTGTAGCATCCAAAAGGGAGAAGAGGGACAGCCCATTCTTCTCCCAAGCCAGTGGGGCCTCTATAGCCACTCACCCATAGCACATTCTTTCATATGGCATTCAAAGATCCCCAACACTCCCATGCTGAGCCCCATGTGCTCCCTGGGGTTTCCTTTCCTACCATATTTACGTTTTCACATATGTGGGATCCCTGTTACCTCTCATCTTGTTGGATAAGTCTACTGCTTTAGCCTCCATGACCTCGAATTTCCCCAACATAGTTTCTGTACTCTTACTGTTCAATGCGGGCAGGTCAGATTCTTAGCAGACAGGGCTACTGGGGAAGGATTAACTCACCGAGCAGGGCTGTTAAGCCCTCCCCAACCTTCCTCCATCACTTGCCTGTCCCTGCCATGGCCACCGGCCCCTCAACCCCCAGGGCTTACCTCAAAGATCATCCGCTGAAGACCAAAGCAGAATGTAGAGCCAAATGGGTTGGTGTTATTTGGGGAGGAGGACCTGAGGCCAGGGAAGCCAGAATTAGAGGTGTAGACAGAAGCCGAGGCCAGGCAGGGCATCCAGTCCCTTTTGGGATCGGGGCTACTGGCCAGTGGTCTCTCATGGCTGTTTCCAACACAGGCCCTTGAAGTACCAGGGGTAGTGACAAGTATCATTCAAGCTCTGAATCCTACACAGCCCAATGAGGCACAGGAAGTTATTACACAGTTAGATTGGAGTGGCAAGTTAGGAGGGAGGAGCCTCAGGCAGCATGGCAACTGGGTAGGAAGCTGTAGACTACAGCATGTGGCAACTTTAATGGGAAAAAAAGAGCCCAGGACAGTGAAAAGTGCTTCTTTTTCTGAATAACTAGGGGTGAAAGGCCCCCCTACCTGGAGAGGGGAGCTATCCCCAAGGGGGAACCTCTCTGGTGTAGGTAAACATGCAGAATAGCTGGCCCAGTGGTAATGTGCAGGGTGGGGGGCGAGAAGTATATTTGTGGCAACAACAGAAACTTCTGTCATTTCTAAGCCATAGGCACAGCTAGGCTTCCCTAAGTCTTCTGGGCTGTGAGGAGCAGGATGGGGTGGTTGGAAATAGCAACCTCCCACTCACCTATGCAGGACAACAGGCTTCTCCACAGGGTGGCCCAGGAGATCCTGGATGTTGTCCCACTGCAAAAGGGATGGGGGCAGCAAGGGGTTAGCAGGGACCTGATCGTGACCAATGGCTGGCCCAGAAGACATGGGCCCCAGACTGTTGGCAGGCTCACACCCACCTCATTTTGGGGCTACATGAGGTGGGAAAATAGCTCACCTTGCTGTAGGTTGTGCATGTTTCTGTCTGACCATCTGCATTTTCTGAAAAGAGAACACAGAGTGGGTTGGTAGCTGGTCCAGCCCACCTGTGACCCTAGCCTAGGCAGAATCCAGACCTGGCCACCCTGTGCATTGGGGTTGGAGTACAGAGGGAGGACAGATGGGCTATTTCAGAGTTGCTGAATGGAAGAGGGTAGAGACAGCAGTCACAAGGCTGACATGGGAACACCTGGATAATCATGTGTAGGAAACTCTCTCCATCATGGACCAGCGATCCCATGATCATAGGAAAAGACCTTGAGAGCCTCCAGCAGACTACAGGCCAAAAAAAATGCAGCCCCAGAACACAGAGCCCAACCCAGAGGAGCTGAGGCTATGGGCAAAGCAGGTGGGCAAAGGTTCCTGCTACCATTTCTGTTTGGATCACTGTGTCTCTGCATCATGAAAGACTAACTTCAAAACCCTTTTCTTACTCTGAGGATATTCACTACTCACCTTTCTTTATGGCTAGTGGGATCTTGAACTCACAGCGGTGATAACTAGAGAGAGAAGCCAGATGGATAAAGGCTGGGCCCCCTGAGAGGCCTGACCACCCGCGCATCTCAACCCCGCACCCCAGGAAAACACAGAATGAACCCACCCCCGAAGCCCTGCTCTGGGGTCTGAAGACCCTGTCATCTTGGATAAGATACCAGGCTCTCTGAACCTACTTCCCTATTTGTAAAATGGGTACAAATGGAGAGACATAAGGTATTGACACTGTACCAGGAACAGAGCAAACAATCAGGAAATGTTCATTTCCCACGAAACTGTAAGAATTCAGGTACAAATTAGTGAACATTCAAAGCCACAGGCTCTCTTTTACTGGGAATTTTCAACCCAAAGCTCAGTTCTTGGGAGGGGCAGGTACAGGTATACTCACATGTTAAAATTATAATGCCCAGGGTAATTGGTGTGTAGGACAAACTTCTTCACTTTGTGTGTATTTGCATCAAAGAGGATATCCTGGGATAGAAAACAAGGATGTCCAAGTAGTGAAAGTTACTGAGGCTGGGCAAGGGCCTTTCTAAGGGCATGTCCAACTCAAAGATAGCCACTCCACAAGGCGGATGCGTCTGGGCAATAGCCTTCTCCCAAACAACAGTCAAGAGGATAGCTGAGGCCAAGCAGCCTTAACTGGACGTTTTCAGTGAAGGGGGCACCCAATTATCTGCAGGCCCCTCATTCCAAACTTTGTAGCAGCAGGCCCAGCAGATGCATGGGCTACAACTCCTACTGCCTGGGAACTCAAACACATCATGGAGACCTTTCCTAACAAGCACCTGATTATAAACTCTAACTAAGCACAGATTCTGGCTTAAAGGCTGCCAAGAAGATTCAGGGACCACCTGAATTTCCAGCGGCTCAAGGCACGTAACTATTCTGAATGCCATGACTGGCCATTAGGCCCTCTCTATGGGAGTCAGCAACCCCTAGAACCGAAGGTCCAGCCTCTCACCAGGACTCAGACCTGGATTTGATGCTGCCCACCGAACACTTCTTCCTATCCACCATACTCTCCCCAAGTTTCACATCCTGCCAGCCTTCTGGGCCTGTGACCTCAGGGTTACCTCTGACTCCAACCCTACATTACCTACATAAGTCCTATTAGGGTTGGTCCATTTGTTCCATCTTCCTTGTCCCTTATCATCAGTGGCCCTTGAACTAGAGAGGTTCTGCTTACAAAGTGCCATTCCCTCCTGCTACTGTCCTACCCTCAAGAGTTTATGACCCCACTGCTGTTCCCCCACTACTCCTGGCTCCACTTTTTTTTTTTTTTTTTTTGACAGAGAGAGAGAGAGAAGCAGGCTTCCCACCAAGCAGGGAGCCCGACGTGGGGCTC